TGGGTTTCACCATGTTGGTCAGGCTGGTCTTGAACTCCTGACTTAAGGTGATCTGCCTGCCTTGGCCTCCCAAGGTGCTGGGATTATAGACATGAGCCATTGTGCCCCGCCTTTTTTTTTGAGATGGAATTTTGCTATTGTCACCCAGGCTAGAGTGGAATGACATGATCTCAGCTCACTGCAACCTCTACCTCCCAGGTTCAAGTGATTCTTCTCCCTCAGCCTCCCAAGCAGCTGGAATTACAGGCAACCATCACCATGCCTGGGTTAAGTGAAAAAAAATTTTTTTTTATATTTTTTAGTAGAGATGGAGTTTCACTATGTTGATCAGGCTGGTCTCGAACTCCTGACCTCAGGTGATCCACCTGTCTCGGCCTCCCAAAGTTCTGGGATTACAGATGTGAGCCATCCTGCTTGGCCCAAAATTGATTTTTTTATAGTGACCTTTTATCTTAGGACTTCACTAAACTCAGTAGAGCTAGTATTTGTTTCAGTGTGTCTGTTTTTACAGTGATTAAATACGTATATTGTTAAGGTTTTTTGTTTGTTTGTCTGAGACAGTGTCTTGCTCTATTGCCAGGCTGGAGTGCAGTGGCACAATCTCAGCTCACCGCAACCTCTGCCTCCCAAATTCAAGCGATTCTCGTGCCTCAGCCTCCTGAGTAGCTGGGATGACAGGCATGAGCCACCACGCCCAGCTAATTTTTCTATTTATAGTAGAGATGGGGTCTTGCCATGTTGGCCAGGCTGGTCTCAAACATCTGACCTCAAGTGGTCTTCCTGCCTGAGACTCCCAAATTGCTGGGATTATAGGCATGAGCCACCGTACCCAGCTTATTTTTAAGGTTTTAAATATTTATTTTAATTTCAACTATTTCCTCTTATTTCTTAGTGTAGATCTAAGTTTTTGTCTGTTGTCATGTATTTTTTTCCCTGAAGACTTTCCCTTAACATTTCTTGTGATACAGATCTCTTATAATGAATTCTATCCGATTTTGTTTGTTTGAAAAACTTTTTATTTCTCCTTTAGTTTTAAAAGATATTTTAACTAGGTGTAGAATTCTGAAGTGACATGATTTTCTTTTTTATTTTTTTTGGTAGTATGATAATCTGTGGTTTTGCTTTCCACGGTTTCACTTGCCTGTGGTCAGTTGTAGTCCTAAAACATATAAGTACAATATGATATATATATATTTTTTTTTTGAGATGGAGTTTCGCTCTTGTTACCCAAGCTGGAGTGCAATGGATCTCGGCTCACTGCAACCTCCACCTCCTGGGTTCAAGCAGTTCTCCTGCCTCAGCCTCCTGAGTAGCTGGGATTACAGGCACATGCCCAGCTAATTTTTGTATTTTTAGTAGAGATGGGGTTTCACCATGTTGACCAAGATGGTCTCGATCTCTTGATCTCGTGATCCACCCACCTTGGCCTCCCAAAGTGCTGGGATTATAGGTGTGAGCCACCGCGCCTGGCCTACGATATTTTAAGATAGACAAGACCACACTTACATAACTTTTGTTACAGTATATTGTTATGGTTATTATATTTTATTGTTGGTAATCTTTTACTGTGCCTAATTTATAAATTAAACTTTATCATAGGTATGTCTTTGTAGGAAGAATTATAATATATATAGGGCTCAGTACTGTCTGTGGTTTCAGGCATCCCCTGGGGTATTGGGATGTATTACATAAATGAATAAGGGGGGACTACTATACTGTAACAGTGTCATTCCGTTGTCTCCTCACTCTCATACTTTTTGGCTGGGGGTCTCCTATACTTGTTTATTTAATGTCTTTTTTTTTTCTCATTGACTTTAAGATTTTTCTTTCTTTTGGTTTTAACACTTTGAATAGTATGTGTCTTGGTGTTTTTTGGAATTTTCTGTTTGGGGGTTCTCTGAGACTCTTAGATGTATAGTTTGATGCCTTTCATTATTTTCACCATATTCTTGGCCTATTTCTCTCCAAATGTTTCTTCTACTTTGTTCTCTCTTCTAGAATTCCAATGACATAAATGTTAGACAACTTGATATTATTTCACTGCTCTTGAATGCACTGTTTCTCCCCTTCCCTTTTTGTTCCTCTGTGTATTTCAATTTGAGTAATTTGTATTGATGTATTTTCAGGTTCCCTGATTCTTTCCTTCTCTGTGTCAAATGTTTTGATGAACCCGTCAAAAGCATCTTAATCACGTGTACCTTGTTTTTAATGCATTTAAAAAAAATTATTATTTGCATTTGACTCTGCCTTAAAGTTTTTGTCTCTCTCCTGGAATTCTTTTTATTCATGCATGTTGTTTGCTGTTCTAACTAGGACATTTAATACATTAATCATAGTTATTTAAATGCTCTGATAATTCCAGCTTTTGGATTTATCTGTGTATTTTGTTTTGCTCCATGCCTTATTCTTCATATTGGTATTTTTCCACTCTTGCTTTTTTTGTGTGTCTCATAAATTCTAGTTGAAAATTGGACAGTGTTTAAGATGTTAAAGACTAAGTTAAATAGTACTTATACCTGGGAATGACATGCCTTTTTTCCTGTTAAGCTTATGTATAGTGTGGAGCTATGCAGTCAGTCTAGTCAGGAGTTGAGTTAGGTTTTGATGTTATATGATTGCTATAGTTACTTTAGTTCATATTTGCTTCAGATTTTTTTGTTACCTGGTTAATTTTATGATGAGTTTTCCTCAAGTTTCTACTCAACTCTGCACTTTAGATCTTCTGTATTTTCTTGGGCTTCATAGAGGATTCTTCTTTGTGTTCTTGCCCCTTCCCTACTGGTAGACTGCTATCCCTTATTTCATGCTTGCTGATCTGGTTAGGGGAAACAGGGTCATTCTTTGTTTTTCTGGTCCAGCTTCAGTCTTAGGAAGATTTTTGTCCTTGAGTCTTGGGGTGAAGCTTTTTTTTGTTTTTTAATTTTCTTTGTTTTTTTATTTTGTTGAGACTGAGTTTTACTCTTGTTATCCAGGCTGGAGTGCAATGGCACAATCTCGGCTCACCGCAGCCTCCGACTCCTGGGTTCAAGCAGTTCTCCTACCTCAGCCTCCTGAGTAGCTGGGACTACAGGCTGTGCCATCATGCCCAGTTAATTTTTGTATTTTTAATAGAGACGGGGTTTCACCGTTTTGACCAGGATGGTCTCCATCTCTTGACCTAGTGATCCAACCCGCCTCGGCCTCCCAAAGTGCTGGGATTGTAGATGTTAGCCACCGCGCCTGGCCCTTATTTTTTATTTTTTGAGACAGAGTCTCGCTCAGTTGCTGGGCACCAGGCTGGAGTGCAGTGGCACGATCTCGGCTCACTGCACCTTCCGCCTCCCGGGTTCAAGCAATTCTCCTGCCTCAGCCTCCCGAGCAGCTGGGACTACAGGCACTCGCCACCACTCCCAGCTAATTTTTGTATATTTAGTAGAGACGGGGTTTCACCGTGTTGGCCAGGATGGTCTCTATTTCTTGACATTGTCATCCTCCTGCCTTGGCCTCCCAGAGTGCTGGGATTACAGGTATGAGCCATCGTGCCCGGCTGGCATGAGGCTTTATGAAGACCGTGGCTTTCCCCAACTAGAGACCTTATTATATGGGCCCCAGGATGTTTTTCTGCTCCTTCCTCTGGGGTAGAAGGCTTTTTATCTTCTTCCTCTCCATAACAGCATTGAGTTTTACCTGTGCCTTAGTAGTAAGTGTTTGATATTCTTCACTGAGGTGCTTCAGACTTCTTAGCTTCAAACTTTTGTTTCTTACAGGACAAGCGTACTAGGAGCCTTTGTGCCTTTCTTACACGGGCAGCTGTTTCCTTCCTCCAGGCTTGTACCACCAAGAGATACTTTATCCAATATCCTGCTCAGCCCTCAGTCTTAGAGTGTCTAGTGGAGGTTTGTGGAGAAAGAGCTTGTAAGTAGGTGTGAACTAGAGCTTGTTAAGCGCGTATGCATTCTCCTTGTGTCTGTGGCTAGTAGGGATTGTGTTTTCATGCTAGCCCACGCTCAGTCGTAAAGAGTTTTGTTAAGTATAACAGAGTACTTCTTACTCATTTATATCGTGGGTTCATTTTCCTCCTGTCCTCTGTCACATGTGACCTACTGCTGTGTCCCATGATTTTGTTTAGATTTCAGGTTAGTTGGTTATTCTTCAGCCTTAGCTTTCTGATGGATTCAAGAAGAGTTAGGCTTTTGAAGACCCAGTGGGCTTTTTCTTGTTAGAGAGGGATGTTCTTTACAGTTCCTACATCACAGACAGAAGATGAAATAAGAGCCTCTTTAATTATAGAAGAGCGTCTGTAATTAAAGATGCTCTTAGTTTTTAACTGTTTCATTTAGGAAACATTTCAAAGTTACAAATACAGTTATGCATACCGTATAACAACACTGTAGTCAGTGATGGACTGTATGTACAATGGCAGTCCCATAAGATTATAATAGAGCTGAGAAATTCCTTTTGCCTGGCGATGTCATAGCTGTTGCAGTGTTATCGTGCTTGCATTACCTTTTCTATGTTTAGATACACATGTATTTCCCTTTGTGTTAACAGTTGCCTACAGTATTTTGCACAGTAACATACTGTATACAGGATATACTGTATAGCTTAGGTTTGTAGTAGGCTATCCTGTCTAGGTTTGTGTAAGTACATTCTGATGTTTGCACAATAACAAAATTACCTAATGATAGATTTATTAGAATGTATCCCTATCATTAAGTGAGGCATGACTGCAGTCAGTAAACTCCTGTGTAACCTCTGCCTAATTTACCAGTTAGCATTGTGCTAAATATGCTTTATCACTGTCTTCCTGTGTACACATTATTATTGTTGTGTTTATTGTTGAACCATTTGAGATTAGAGTGCTCCAACCTCATGACTGTTTACCCTTGAATACTTAAATCTCATTTTTTAAAAAATGTGGCAATATATTTATGAAGATCTTTTATATGTTAAAAATTATATACTGATATTAAAATATGCATCAGTAATTTATATTCATTAAAATCCCTTTTTATCTGTAGGTATCATTAATGGGATTGGAAATTTTAAGTGCCTTTGTGGACAAATTATCAACACGATTTAAATCCTATGTAGCAATGGGTAAGTTAACTTTATTTATTTACAATTCTAAATAAGATTTGACATGATGACTTTTTCCCTTAGTTTTTGTTAGCAGAAATAGTTTCTCTGTAAATTTAAAAATTTAATTTCAGTAATCCCAGCACTTTGGCAGGTGGATCGCCACAGGTCAGGAGTACAAGACCAGCCTGGCCAACATGGCACAACTTCATCTCTACTAAAAATAGAAAAATTAGCTGGGCATGGTGGCATGTACCTGTAAGCCCAGCTACTCAGGAGGCTGAGGCAGAAGAATCGCTTGAACCCAGGAGGTGGAACCCAGGAGTTTGCAGTGAGCTGAGATCAGTCTGGGTGACAGACCAAAAATCTGTCTCAAAAAAAAAAAGAAATTTTATATAACCCAGAGATCTGCTACTTAGCATTTCAGTTTACCCAGAGAAAAGGTTTTAAACCTACTTAAATCTCCCTTGAGACAAAAAAAAAAAGAATTAAAATATTTACTGGATCCTTTACTGTTTTGTGAAATACTAAGATTTGTAATATAAGTTACAGTGCTATGTTTCAGACTATCTGTGGAGAAGGGCCAGTTGTTTCATTGCCAGCATGTTGCAGACCACTATTTTATGAAATACAATAAAATAGATTACAGCAAATAAAAAAGGCCCAATTTTTTTTTATCATTAGATGCAACAAACAAAATTTCTTTGGTCAAATTGCCTCAAAACCATTTTGTAAGTACTCTAAATTTTCTTATCATAGACAGTCTATAGATTGATCTCGGCTGCTGATCATACTGTGAATAGCACTTACTTACAGTGTATTTGTAGTACAGTGCATATGGTAGGATAATGCTCAGCTTTCTATAGTTATTAGGATTACAAAGTTGGCTCTGACTTATTTTCTAAACCCGAATGACCTTCATGTACCTTTAGAGTATATTATAAATCAGTTTGATCCTATGATGCAGCAGTATTATATAGCATATAGAAGGGTAGCCTCAGATATTAGTGATTTTTCTTTGCTTTTTTCTTTTATATTTTAAAATAGATACAGGGTGTTGCTATGTTGCCCAGGCTAGTCTTGAATTTCTGGGCTCAAGCAGTCTTGCCACCTCGGCCTCCCAAAGCATTGGCATTACAGGCGTGAACCACCATGCCTGGCCGGTGATTTTCTTTTGTGGATTAAGTTTATGCCTCCTACTGTATCATCACACTTTCTTATATCTGTGGTTAAGTTTTTTCTTCATGTTTGGTATGCTACTTACCATTCTGTCAGTTCTTTCTTTTATTTCCTAATTATCTTTTCAACAGAAGCATCTGGTGGGGTTTCCTATCTTTATTAGTTAGTTTTAATCAACACTTGATTCCACTTGATCCTTTGTGTTAATATTTTCAGTAAAGTTTTATTTTTACTGTCAGTCTCCACTGAAAACTATAATAGGCTAGGGGAGTCACTGGCTCATACTTGTAATCCCAACTCTAGGAGGCTGAGGTAGGAGGATTGCTTGAGGCCAGGAGTTTGAGACCAGCCTGGGCAATATAGTGAGACCATGTTTCTGTAAGAAAAAAAAATTAGCAGGCATAGTGGTGTGTGGCTGTAGTCTTAGCTACTCTGGAGGCTGAGATGGGAGGTTGGGCCCAGGAGTTCAAGGTTACAATAACCTAAGATTGCACCACCATGCTTCAGCATGGGCAACAGAGTACACCTGTGTCTCTTATAAAATAAATTTTATAGTAGATATTGAAAACTGCTCTGCAAGCATTTTACTTGTTTATGTTTTCTCTCTTTCTCTGTCTCTCTCTCTCTCTCTTTCTCTTTCTCTCACTGTCTCTGTTTCTTTTCTTTTCTTTTTTTTTTTCTTTTTTGAGACAGGATCTTGCTCTGTCACCCAGGCTGGAGTACAGTGGTATGATTGTGGCTCACTACAGCCTTAGCCTCCTCAATAGTCAAGCCATCCTCCCACCTCAGCCTCCTTAGTAGCTGGGACCACAGGCATGAGCCACCTTGCCCAGCCTATGTTTTCTTAAAATATTTTGAATCAGTGTTTAAAATTGAGAAGTTTTACATGAAAATTTGTATTTCTGGCTTGTCTCAAGAAATTGGCCACTGTAGTAACCCTGATAAGAAGTTGCTTTGTAGTTTCTCTTGTGTCTAGGTGATGATCTTTCCAATTCATAAAACCTCTCTCGCCCCCAAAATCCTCTTGTCTCTTCATCACTGAGAGAGTTGGGTATAATATGGTAAGGTTGGAATACTGCCTTTCTTAAACTGGCTCAATTTTAGCATTTCCTGTGTCTCCCTGACCATAGACATTTGTTTTTGTGACTCTTGCCCTGTAGTAGCTCCCTGTAATTAATTGCTATAGAGAACATTTAGACTTAAGAGTAATTCTAGGTATTATGTATCTCACTTATTTTTCAGACATCAGGAGGACCACATAGGGTTATTATGTATTGACTACTTATATTGAGGCAATGGGAATATTGGGATCAGAATTCTAGTTTGACTCCTAACACTGTCTTGCTTTCAGAACTTACTTCTCTTATGCTGTCTTTTACCATATGTGTTCCTCCTCTATCTCAGTAGACTCTTTATTTGTAATCTTTAGCAAGTACTTTGTCTCCACTCTCAGCTAATCAGAAACTTGCTCACTCTTCCTAGGTCTAGCGTAAGTTGTTTATGCCTCTGTTGTGCCCTTATTTCTTTTTGAAATCTCCTCTTCCCCGTAGTCCTTTCTTTCCCTTCTAAAAATGTACTTCAAATTTGAGAATCTGAGGGATTTTTCAGGTTAACCTCACCCTACACTGAATTTTTCTTTACTCTGTGATTCTTATACAGTTAAATACTCAATAATTTATATTAATTTGCTTTTGTCAGTGTTTTTCAGTTGTGTTTGTGCAAGTAGATGGCATATGTTCATACACTCTTATATGTGTAGTTTTTTCTTTTAATCGCCTATTCTTTCGTTATCTCTCTGCATTTACTGTCTGTCAGTATTGTTTTCACTTTGAATCATACGTCCTCATCATTGTCCTTAATGAAACTTGAACTTGTTATTTCTTTAGAGTCAGTGTGGTATAATAGGAAAATTTTATTACAGCTTTGCTATCATTAGTTGAATGCCTTCTTTTTACCCATTTTTGCCTGTTTACTTTTTACTCTTTTACTACTTCGCATACATGAAAGATTATTCTCACATCATTTCTAATTTGTAGAACAGCTCTGGAAGATAGGCAGCATAACTGTATGCTCTTAGAGAGGTAAGGAACTGGACTAAGAATCCCAGGGTTAGCATTTTGGTTTTATCTCTATTACAGAACTTAGCCAAATCACTTTAGGAGTCTTTCTGTAAAAAGGAGTTGAACTGAATATGATCTGAAGGTTTTTTGATACTCTAACTCTAGATAAATATAACTTGCTTTGAAAAATAATGTTTAGTTTTGGTGCACTTGGGTTATTAGCTATCATTACAGATATTTTTATTGTTCTTTTATGTGAAAAGTGTTTTAGGAAAATTGAGATTCATTTTCAGTTTTAGATACAGTTCCAAAAAGAATATAAACTCTATTAATGTAATTCTTAAATATATAATCGATATATATGCATAGTACTAATAATAGAAAATATTTTAGTTTCCTTTTGTGACCCACATTATTGTGGAAAAGTATAATTTTCAAACAAAAAATATACAATTTATATTTAATGTTGATCACCAGCGCTGGTTCTATAACTGAGCCGTAAAGGATCTCATATCTTACAAATTTTATAAACTGTTCTAAAATTTTAAACAGTTTTAAACCAAAATGTTATTGTAGAAGGAATACAAGAATAGTTACGTTACCCGGTAAATGGTTTGCATCTTGTACAATGCTAAAAGAAAAAAAAAATACTGAGTTATGATTCAACCTTCCATGTCTCATTGTCCAAATTCCAGTCTTTTCATAGATTGATTCATTTGTTTAACACATTCATATGGAGAGCCTATTGAGTGAAAAATTCTGTTCTGGATACCCAATAAATATTTGTTGAATGTTCATCATATTGAATGATGATTCAGTTATCATGGGCTTGGCATAGGTGCTTTTTCCTTATTTTACTTCATCCTGTCACTAGTCATGTGAGGTATAGTTCTGTCATCAACTCATATTTTACAGACAAGAAAACTTTGAAGTTCAGGAAATTTTCTGTTTTGTAATTAATAACTGGTAGAGTTAGGAATACAGTCTTGTTCTATTTGACTCCAAGGTAGTATGTGTTAAAAAGCAATTCCAGTGCAAAACCAGTATGAATTTCTTATTTAAATTAATAGCTGCAATACTAATTTTATGTAATGTGAGGGTTTTTTTGGTTTATGTTTCGTAAAATGGTGTTTGACATTGAAGTGAATCCCTGTTGGAGCCAACATTTGAATTTTCTTGTTGGAGTTAAATTTCACCTCTCAGGAATGAAGCGACTTCTTTTTCCATTGTTGTTACATGGTTGTTAACATATACACATACACCCAAACACCTCAAATTATAAGTAAATGGAGATGGTTATGAATGTGACTTCACATTATATAGATATTTATTTATTTGTTATTGTTTTTTGAGACAGGGTCTTACTTTGTTGCCCAGGCTGGAGTACAGTGGCATGATCTTAGCTCACTGCAACCTCTGCCTTCTGGGCTCAAGCCATCCTCCTACCTCAGTCTCCCGAGTAGCTGGGCTACAGACACATACCACCACGCTTGGCTAATTTTTATAATTTTAGTAGAGATGGGATTTTGTCATGTTGGCCAAGCTGGTCTGGAACTTCTGGCCTCAAGTGATCCACTTGCCTCGGCCTCCCCAAATGCATGGATTGCAGGCGTGAGCCGCTGCACCCGGCCAGTATAGATTATTTAAAACTTGGTTTCACTACTTGTTGTTTGTGTGACCTTGGATAAATTATTTAATCCTGCTATGCCTTCTCTATCAAATGGGCCTACCCTCTTTCATAGGACTGTTGCTATGAGTAAATGAGACAGTTAATTCAGTGGTTAGTGCATAGTAATATCTAACCTTTGTTAAGTGTTTACTATTGTCTTCTGCCTTTCAGAAGCTATAAGAACCAGAATTCCATACTGACCAACCTTATAGATGTTGATAAATTCCTCTAGTGTTAACAATATATCCAAGCAGGATGAGAAGAATCTATATTGTTCCATTGATGAACATTGCCTCATAATTAGACCTATGATTTTTATGGTGAGGATAATTCCTTGATTAAGCTTAAGATTTTTGGATGATATCTTTCCATTTGATATGCTGCCTTCTCACTCTAGTCATTTTTTTCCCAAAAAGAGTGTAATTTCTTTTTTCTTTAACTCTTGTTGTTCATTATTACATCAGTTTGGGTTATTACATTATAGGTAATATGTTGGCTTCAGATTATATACACATTTAATTATATGTGTCTATAAATAAACTAGAGAAATATTTCTTTCTTGATCTCATTTCTTTCTCCTTCCCTTGTTTAAACTGGACTTAGTCCTCCATTGACTCAGAGAAAGGAAAGCTATGTAGTAGTCCCCCATTATCTTCAGGGGCTGTGTTCCAAGACCCCCAGTGGATTCCTGAAGCCTCCAATAGTCCAAACCAGTCCATGACCTGTTAGGATCTGGGCTGCACAGCAGGAGGTGAGTGGCCAGCAATGAGAATTACCACTTGAGCTCCACCTCCTGTCAGATCAGCCGCAGCATTTAGTTCTCATAGGAGCATGAATCCTATTGTGAACTGTGCATGTGAGGGTTCTAGGTTGTGCACTCCGTATGATGCCTGATCTCAAAACCATCCTGTCCCCCTGCCACTGTGGAAAAATTGTCTTCCACAAAACCAGTACCTGGTGCCAAAAAGGTTGGGGACTGCTACTATACATGCTATGTGTTTTTGATCTCATAACGGAAACAGCTACTAAGTGACGAATAGGCAGGTAATGTAAACAGTGCAGATATGTTGAACAAAGGAAGGATTCACATTCCATACCGAATGGAATGGGACAGCCCAGGATTTCATCATGCTCCTCAGAACGGCGCACAATTTAAAACTTATGAGTTGTTTATTTTTAGAATTCTCCATTTAATATTTTCAGACCACAGTTGGGCATGGTTAACTGAAACCACAGAAAGTGAAGCTGTGGATAAAAGGGGACTACTGTATAGCTGTAATATCAGAAAAGAAACAAAGGAAGTTTCCTTGTTTTTGAACATGCAGCATGATGATAGTGATAGTGATAGTAGGTGACGTATTATAGAAAGTGCTTACTCTGCCCTTTACTCTTTGAGTTGTTTGTATTATTTTTAAATTTTCAATACTCCTCTGAGATAAGTACTGCTAACCACCTTTATGGCTGAGGAAATAGACAAAAGGTAGTTAAATAATGTGTCCAGGGTCACATACCTAATGAAACCACACTAAATGGTAGTGGTAATTTAAGGAATTACAGGAAGATGATTTTGACTACGTGTAATTTTTACCCTATGAACCGACTTTAGAACCTGTACCCTCTGAATTCTACTTCCTCCTTGTCCCTTCATCTATACATTTCTCTAAGAAAAATAATATTTAGTTTTGCCTGTTTTTTGAACATTATTATAAGGAGATATCATGCCGCATGTATTCTTTTGAAACTTCTCAGTTATTTTTTTAATTGGATTTATGTGTAAAGAACTTAAAACAATTTCTTCACAACTCTTCATTTATGGAAACAATGGCTATTTGTAATTTTGTAAAATATAGTTTTTAATGGAGATGAGTTATAAGTAATTACTCTTTTACTCCCTCCCCTTCTTTAGTTATTGTAGCTTTAATAGACAGAATGGGAGATACCAAAGACAAGGTTCGAGAGGAAGCTCAGACTCTGATGCTGAAGTTAATGGATCAAGTAGCACCACCTGTGGTAAGCCTACATTTTAAAATTTAGATTTTGCTAATGGGAATCATAGCAAGTCATTAAAGCCACAGCAACCATGAACACTGAAATGTTAAACAGTGATTTGTTGCTAATGCTTTTAAGAAGTTGACATTTAAGATACAGTGTCAGTGTTTGACTTTCCGGTTTTTTGCTGCTTATTCTTATTTTGTACTCTTTAATGCTTTTTTTAAAAGCTAACTAATAGAGTTCAGTGATTTGATGGTGTATGGATTATATTATACTTTAGGATTTTTTGGTTTCTCTTTTTTTGTAAATTAAAAAATGTTTATTAAAAAAAAAGCTTATTTTGAGAATTACTGAATGCTGTATTGTTCATTTCTGCAACTCCTACAGAGACCAGAAGAAAATTTTTTCACTGGTGGTTACTGTGTTTCCCAAGTATTTTATATTTCAGAACTATTTTTTTTAAATATTGTGGTGGATATCCTTCCACACTTGTTTATTCATTTACATTTTAGGTTGTTTTTGGCTTTCTGTGATTACAAACAGTATTGTAAGGGGCATCCCTTTTACATGTATCTTTGAACATAAATGTACATAGTTATATAGAATAGCATTCCAGGGGTAGTATTGGTGTTTCAGGTTATTCACATTTAAGATTTTTTTTTTTTTTGGTAATTTCTTAAGCCACCTTCTTGAAAGTTTGGTTGGGAGAGAGAAATACATTAGTAGAACTGAATACAGACTCCAGAAAGAATACTGAGTACAGAAAGAGGATGGCTGTGTATGTTGTGTATATGAATTTAGTAAATGGTAAAAGTGGTGTTTCCAAATGTGCAGAAAGGATTGATTGATCCAGTTGGCTTTATGGTTGGTAAAAATAAAGTTGGATTTCTTGCTACACCCAAAATACTTGGTTTGGATTTTTTGGTATAGGTTTATCTCTGCTTTTTCTAAAAGAAAAGTACGGTAGGTAGCTACAAAATGAGTTGCCCAAATACATTTCTGTATTTGATCCAGTATTAAAAGGAAAAAAGTCTGAATTATAAAGTGTCCAAAAAAAAAAGGCCTGTCCCATGTGAGTCTATATTAGTTACTAGGCAGTGTTGGACCACTTAAATACTTACTGGACTGCTGGACTTTTAATGGTAGCATTGTTATTGAAGGTTTCTGAATCATAGAAGAAATCTGTGTCCTTGGAAATTCTAACGTTTTCAGTTGTTGGACATGGTTCTTCTGAGAATAATCAAAATCTAAAGTGAAATATATATATATAAGTACTAAAATGTGATTAAAGTAATACAAATGGGTAAGAGCGGTTTTGTAATTTGGCTTAGAAAAGCTTGTAAGTAGTGGAGAAATGAACAACAGTCTGATGAAAATATTCAGTTACCAGTAAGGTTAGTAGTAAGATCGGGAAGAAATAAAAGATTATAACATGAATAATTTAATTTTTTGTTATACATTTTTACTTTTCTTTCAAATAGTACATTTGGGAGCAGTTGGCTTCTGGTTTTAAACACAAGAATTTTCGATCTCGAGAAGGCGTGTGTCTGTGTCTTATTGAAACCTTAAACATGTAAGTTTTATGATTACTGAAAATAGCTGTCTTGTTTTTTATTTCTCTGAAAAAAAAAACCTCAGTTCACAAAGTCAAGGAAAGCTATGGGTAATAACATATTTAAAATTGTTATTCAAGCATACAACTTTTTATTTGATACCTTTACTGTTCATTTTTTATGTATATTACTATCTTTCATGTTCTTAATTTTTCAGTTATATCAGTATTAAGTGTTTCTCTTTTTTTCTTTAATATGTTAATAGTAGCCACCCAAACCAGATGGTCATGGAACTGATACGCTAATACCTTAGTATCTATTTCTTTTCTAGGTCGAATTTGGAATTGTTTTTAATTCAGTGATATTTCATATATTATAACCATTTCCCATCCCCATCCTCCCCCTAGAGCAGTGTGAGTGGGTACCAGAATTATAGACCAAGCAAACTTTCCCAGGTAACCAGACAGTGAGACTGGTAGCTGCGTGTAGAGTTCTGGCTGCCATAGTTGCCACAGAACTGTGACTCTGATCTGAAAAAGTGTAAACTAGGACTTTTCTTGCTCTGGCTTAGTTTTTTTAGGTGTTACAATGTCATAGGTTATATGTAGTCGCTTTCAGCTTTTCCTATAGTGTTACTTCCTTTTCTTAACTGTATTTTCATTTATTACTCTAGGACTATAGAGCCTATAAGTGTACTCAGTCTGCACAGCTCTTTGCTCTGGGTTTTGGCTCTCTTGCCATAAGCTTAAATATCTTTTATTTATTTATTTATATTTTTGAGATGGAATTTCGCTCTTGTTACCCAGGCTGGAGTGCAATGGCGCAATCTCAGCTCACCGCAACCTCCATCTCCTGGGTTCAGGCAATTCTCCTGCCTCAGCCTCCTGAGTGGCTGGGATTACAGGCACGCACCACCATGCCCAGCTAATTTTTTGTATTTTTAGTAGAGACGGGGTTTCACCGTGTTGACCAGGATGGTCTCAATCTCTTGACCTCGTGATCCACCCGCCTCGGTCTCCCAAAGTGCTGGGATTACAGGCGTGAGCCACCACGTCCGGCTGATCTTTTAGTTTACTGAATGGGAATGCGTTTATTTGAGACCCAGAGTCTTAAAAAAAAATCACAATTTCAAAAGTGAAAACTCTGATTTTCTTAAGTTGTTCATGGATTGCTAGGTTAAAGAGTGCCATTGTTGAACATTTTTTATCTATTGGATGATATATTGTCTTCACTGTCAGTTGTGATTATTCAAGTTTGCGTATTTCACATTGCTTGTAATTATTTTTTGTTTGTGTCTCATATCCTTCATGTTTTAATAATGTGTGCCCATCCTCCCCACCATATTTGTTATATTGCTACAGACAAGAAGGAGGCATAAGGATATTTTGTTTTCTGTTTATTAAAAACAAATTCTCTTTATTTTTTTTCTCAAATTATATTTAGTTTTGGGGCTCAGCCACTAGTCATCAGCAAGTTGGTACCACATTTGTGTGTCCTGTTTGGAGATTCCAACAGTCAGGTAAAATTTTATTTACATTCAAGCATTGACTACTTTTTTGGCTACCATTTCTTTTGTAGTCTTCTTATTCTACTTTTAAAGAAGAGAGAGGGTGGAGGGGATGCTGAAATCAAGGTTTTACCTCATTTAAAAAAAATCTATCAAAGTTAGTTTTAAAAATCATTATATTCATGAAAGTTGCTTGTGTTTGTCAGTAGTAAGGATAGTTTGGCTGGTAGTAAGGATAGATGGGACTTAATGGCTGTTTCTGGAGTGTGAGAGACTTAGTAATAAAGAGCATAGATTCTCTGCTAGTCTTCCTGTATATTAATTGTGGAGACAGAGTGTCAGCTTCCTTTGGTTATTACTGAAATTGGCTGCATACTTTTTGCAATTATAATAACCCTATTTAACAAAGAGGATTTATATCAGCAATATATCAGTTGTTAGAAACTTTTTTATCTGAGCCATCTATATCAGCAGTCTCCAAATTTTTTGGCACAGGGAGTGGTTTTGTGGAAAATAGTTTTTCCACGGAGTGGTGGGGATGGTTTCGGGATGAAACTGTTCCACCTCAGATATCAGGCATTAGTTAGATTCTCATAAAGAATATGCGACCTGGATCCCCCGCATGCAGAGTTCACAATAGAGTTTGTGCTCATATGAGAATCTAATGCTGCCACCAATCTGATGGGAGGTGGAGTTCAGGCAGTAAAACTTGCTTACCTGCCACTTATCTCCTGTTGTAGTCCTTGAAAAGGCCACGAACCATTATGGGTCCGTGGCCTGTGGCTTGGGGACCCCTAATCTATACTATAGGTATAATACAAGAATGTGTTCTGGATCATGTCCTTCATGACGAACTTGAATCTTGCCTGTAACCTTTTTGGCATAGCTTGGGCATTTGGAGTGACCTCGGGTAAGATTTTCCCTTCTTTTAGATCCTAGGTGTTGCTCAAGAGGTTTGTAGAGAATTCTACTGTCCTTTCAGTTGCTATTTCACAAAGAGCTGTGCAAGGGAACTAGAGCTACCTTTCAAATTCCTGTTTTCAGATCATATTCTTTTTTATCTTTTAATTGTAGCAAATACAATATAAAATTTATCATTCTAACCATTTTTAAGTCTAAGTTCAGTGGCATTACGTACATTCACATTGTTTTGCAACAACACTACCATCTAGCTCTGGAATTTCTTCATCTTCCCAGACTGAAGCCCTGTACCCGTGAAGCATTAACTCCCCAGTCCCCGGCAGCTCCCTCTTCCTCCCCAGCTTCTGGCAACCACCATTCTCTTTTCTGTCTTTGTGAATTTGACTGTTCTGTGTACTTCATAGAAGTAGAATAATAGAATATTTGTCCTTTTGTGTCTGGCTTGTTTATTTAGCATAATGTCTTTAGGCGCATTCATCTTGTAGCATGTATCAGAATTTCCTTCCCTTCTTTTTTTAGACTGAATAATATTCCATTGTGTGTATATAGCACATTTTGTTTATTTGTTTATCTGTGGATGGACATCTGGGTTGTTTCCATGTTTTGGCTGGTGTGAATAATGCTGTTATGAATATTAGTTTAAAAATATCTGTTTGACTTCAGGCCATGTTCTTGAAATGCAGTTTTAATACAGGAAAATACCTTAACTATGATCATAATTTGTATTAATATCATATTGGCAGTTGTTTATATAATCTTACTACATAGAGTTTTTTTTTTTTTTTTTTTTAGATGGAGTTTCACTCTTGTAGCTCAAAGTGGAGTGCAGTGGTGTGATCTCGGCTCACTGCAACCTCTGCCTCCCGGGTTCAAGCGATTCTCCTGCCTCAGCCTCCCGCGTAGCTGGGATTACAGGCACACTCCACCATGCCCGGCTAAGTTTTTTGTATTTTTAGTAGAAATTGGATTTCGCCATGTTAGCCAGGCTGGTCTTGAATGTCTGATCTCAGGTGATGTGCCTGCCTTGGCCTCCCAAAGTGCTACAGGTGTGAGCCACCGCACCCAGCTTTCAAATAGATTTTTTAAAAGCTTAATTAGTCGTTTTCATTGACAAGTTTCTCAAATTTCTGTAAATTCATCTTTTAGTTTTTTCTAGAGTTCTCTTGGCAGGCCCTCTTGGTTTTGGGTTTAGAGGCATTAAAACCCACTGAGAGTTTCAAGTTGGTTTGTTGGTGTAACGTTACCTTGAGATGAAGTATTTTATTGTATCATGCATATAGGTGTCTTAAAAAGTTCTGAATTCTTTGACAGGTAAGAGATGCTGCAATATCGGCTATAGTGGAGATTTATAGACATGTGGGAGAAAAAGTGAGGATGGATCTTTATAAGAGAGGAATTCCCCCTGCTAGGTAAGTCTTGCTAAATTTGTTTCTTTTTCTTTTTTTTTAAACCACTAGTTTTAAAAGTTTTCATTATATTTGTTAATTTTAATTTATTTTTTTTGAGACAGAGTCTTGCTTTGTCACCCAGACCGGAGTACAATAGTGTGATCTTGGCTCACTGCAACCTCTGCATCCTGGGCCCAAGTGATTCTCCCACTCCTGTCTCCTGATGAGCTGGTACTACAGGCACATGCCAACACACCTGGCTAATTTTTGCATTTTTAGTGGAGACAGGGTTTCATCATGTTGACCAGGTTGTTCTCGAACTCCTGACCTCAAGTGATCTGCCTACCGTAGCTTTCTAAAGTGCTGGGATTAGAGGCGAGAGCTACCACACCCAGCCTGTTTATTTTATACAGGTTCAAATATGTAGAAATTTTTTTGTTTTGTTTGTTTTTGAGGCAGAGTCTGGCTCTGGCACCTACGCTGGAGTACAGTGGTAGGATCTCAGCTCACTGCAACCTCCACCTCCCAGGCCTAAGCCATCCTCTTACCTCAGACTCCCAAGTAGCTGGGGCAACAGACATGTGCCACCATGCCTGGCCACTTGTTGTATTTTTTTGTAGAGATGGGGTTTCACCATGTTGCCCAGGCTGGTCTTGGACTCATGAGCTGAAGCAATCCTCCCACCTCTGTCTCCCTGGGATTATGGATGTGAGCCACCACAGCCAGCTGAAATGTGTTAAAATTTAAAAAATTCAAAAGTATATATATGTTATTACCACTTAAAAAGTTCTTAAGGTCATATAATATTTTTGGTCACTGTTTCATTATGTATTTATTATTTAGTATGTAATTACGTACCATTATCAGGTAATCATCCTTTAATACCAGTCATTATTTGGGAGATGCTTGAGCAAGGATTTATTAAAAATATTAATATAGTCATCAAGTAAATTCTTTAAATGTATGTACTGTTGAAAGGTACCATATGATTTATTGGGTAACAGAAGCTGTATGAGAATCAGTCACGCCAGGTATGATGGCATGGCTTGTGCCTATAATCCTAGCACTTTTGTGAGGCTGAGGTGGGAGGATTGTTTTAGGCCAGGAGTTCAAGACCAGCCTGGGCAAAAAGCCAGACCTTCACACTACAAAAAAATTTAAAAATTAGCTAGGTGTGGTGACATGCAACTGTATTCCCAGCTACTCAGGAGGCTGAGGCAGGAGAATCCTTTGAACCCAGGGATTTGAATTTACAGTGAGCTGATTACACCACTGCCTTCTAACCTGTCTCAAAAAAAAAAAAAAAATTAGTCACTACTCTTAAAACCAACTCTTAAAACTTGTTCATATAAAAAGGAAATCAAGAATATATGAGTAGTGTGGCATTAGTCAGATCACTAAAGGTCCTGTTGATAATCTTCTAGTGTATCAGAAAATATTTTTCAATGGCTTTTTTTCTTTATTACTTCTCAGTTTATATTTTTATTAAGTATATTCCTCTTAAAAGTGTTTTTTCCTCTTGATGATGAAATTTTAAGGGGATTCACTAAAGGAATTTTTTTCAACCTTTTATTATGGTATTTAGCATTTCAAACAGATACTAAAGTAGGTGGTGTAAAATAATGAATCTTCATTTATCTATTACTTGGTTTGAACAATTACTAATTTGTGTCCAGTTTTTTATGTTATACCTTAGACTACTTACTCTTGTGCTGTATTATGTTGAAGCAAGTCCAACTTATAACATTTTACTTGTAAATATTTCAATATATTTTTAAAAGAAAAATAAATTTGTCAGTCACAACCACAATACCATCATCACACTCTATAAATTTTTTTTTTTTTCAAATCTATAATAGCAAATATGTACTCAGGGTTCAAATTTCCAGTTGCTTCATAACTATCATAAGTATGTGTCTTAGTCTGTTTTGTGTTGCTATAAAGGAATATCTGAGGCTGGGTAATTTATAAAGAAAAGAGGTTTCTTTGGTTCATGATTCTGGGCGCTGTACAAGAGGCATCATACCGGCATTTGCTGGGCTTCTGGTGAGGGCGTGTGACTGCTTTCACTCACAGTGGAAAGCAGTGGGGAGGTGGTGTTTACAGAGATTAGCTGGCCAAAGAGCAAGCTAGAGAAAAAGAATCAGGCTCTTTAACAACCATCTCTCACAGGAGAACTCATTTACCCCTCCCTGCCCCAGGGAGGACATTAATCTGTTCATGAAGGATCCATACCCAGGACCCAAACACCTCCCATTAAGACTCACCTCCAACATTGGAAATCAGATTTCAGCATGAGGCTTGGAGGGATCAAATTCAAACCATAGCAGTATGTATGTGCTTTTAACAGTTTGTTGAATCAGGGTCCAAATAAAGTCCATATGTTACATTATGTTTTGTTAAGTCTTTTAAAACATTTATGTACTCCAACACTCTTTTATCCTTGTGTTTTATTTGTTGAGTAAGCCGACAATTTATTCTGGAGTTTGCCAGTTCTTTTCATGTGGTGTGGTTTAACATGTTATTTTGTCTTCATATCCTGTAAGTGTGTGGTTAAATCTAGAGATTTCAACAGATACTTGGTGGGGGGATGTCAGGAAGAGCAAGGTGACCTCATAGATGGTGATGTCTTCCAGTATCATGTGTCTCATCATATTTGGTTTTCTCTCTTACCAGTAGTTGTTTCTCAGTACCAATTATTTGCTGGTAGTAAGGTTGTCTCAGAAATACGCTTTTTGTTGACTTGATCATCTATTCATTTTCTACTTCCAAGACTAACAAGAATTACTTTTGAGTAAATTCTACATCATTTTACATGGATGAAAGAAAGAAGTGATGTTAACATATATATTTGTGGGCCTGTGTATATGTATACATCATATATTTTCTAAATTTATATTGAAATTATTTTTTTATTCTTAAATAGATTTTAATTTAATTTTTATTTGAGACAAGGTCTTACTCCTGCCCAGGCTGGAGTGCCGTGGTGTGACCAAGGTTCAATGCAGCCTCAACCTCTTGGCCCTAGGCAATCCTCCCACTTCAGTCACCTGAGTAGTTCGGACTTTAGGTGCATACTACCACACCTGGCTGATTTTTGAAATTTTTTTGTCGAGATGGGGTCCCTGTATGTTGTCCAGGCTGGTCTTTAACGTCTGGGTTCAAGCACTTCCTGCCTCCGTCTCCCAAAGTTCTGTGATCACAGGCATGAACCACCATGCCTGGCTAGACATTATTTTTAGAGCACTTTTAGGTTCACAGTAAAATTGAGAGAAGGTACAGAGATTTCCCATGTACTCTGTGTCCCTATACACGCATAGCCTCTCCCATTATCAGTATCCCTCAATGGAGTGGTACATTTGTTATAACTGATGAACCTACACTGACATATCATTATCACCCAAAGATCATAGTTTGCACTAGAGTTGACCCTTGGTGTTGTATATTTTATGGGTTTGGACAGATGTATAATGACATGTGTCCACTATTATAGTATTATACACAATCGTTTTACTGCCTTAAAAACTCATGTTTCACCTGATTATCCCTCCCTCTGGCCTAACCCTTGGCAACATTCATCTTTTTACTATCTCCATATAGTCACATTCATATAGTATGTAGCCTTTTCAAATGGCTTCTTTCACTTACTAATATACATTTTAAGTTTTCTCCATGTCTTTTCATGGTTTGATAGCTAATTTCTTTTTAGGGTTGAAAACTTTTTCATTATCTGAAAATACCACAGTTTTTCCATTCTGCCGTAGGACATCTAATTTGCTTCTGAGTTTTGGCAGTTATGAACAAAACTGCTGAAACTGTGAATGTGCAGGCTTTGTGTAGACATACATTTTTGTCTCCTTTGGGCAAATACCAAAGAATGCAATCACAGTATTTAATTTTGTAAGAAGTTTCCAGACTGTCTTCCAAAGTGCTTGTACCAGCAATGAAGGAGTTCCTATTGCTTCACATTCTCGCCAGGATTTGATCTTGTTAGTGTTTTGAGTTTTGGCCATTTTAACTGGTGTTTAGTAGTGTCTTGTTGTTTTAATTTTGCATTTCCCGGATGACCTCTGATTTGGAGTACGTTTTTGTATGCTTGTTTGCCATCTGTATATCTTCTTTGGTGAGATGTTTGTTCACATATTTTGCTCTTATTTAATTTGGGTTGTTCACTTTCTTATTGCTGAGTTTTAAAAGTTCTTTGTTTATTTTGGGAAGCAGTCCTTTAACAGATATGTCTTTTGCAAATACTTTCTCCCAGTCTGAGACTTTTCTTCTTTTGCTTTATGGTATCTTTCAAAGAGAAGAAAGTTTTAGTTTTAATGAAGTTCAGCTTATTAGTTATTTCTTTCATGGTTGATGCTTTTGGTGTTGTATTTAAAAAGTCATCACTAACTGAAGGTCGATTAGATTTTCTCCTGTGTTATCTTCTAATAGTTTTATAGTTTTGCATTCTGTATTTAGTTCTGTGATCCATTAGAGTTAACTTATAGGAAGGATATAGGTCTGTATCTAGATTCATGTTTTTGTTTGTGAATGTCCAGTTGTCCTAGCACAGTTTGTTGAAAAAACTATCTTTTCTTTATTATATTGACTTTGTCCCTTTTTCAAAAATCATTTTTATCATCATATTTATCTGGGTCTGTTTCTGGTCTCTCTATTCTGTTCCACTGATCCATTTGTTTGTTCTTTCACTAATACCACACTGCCTGTAGTTTTGTAAGTTAGATAGTGTCAAGCTTCCATCTTGGTTATTTTTCTTTAATACTGTGTTAGCTATTCTGGACCTTTTGCCTCTCCCTATAAACTTTAAAATTGCTTTGTCGTTATCTACAAAACAACTTAGCTGGAATATTGATTGAGATTACATTGAATCCATAGATCAAGTTGGGAAGAACTGACATCTTGAAAATATTGAGCCTTCATATCCACGAACATGGACTATATCTCCATTTATTTCTTAACTCTTTTGGTTTTTTCTATCAGAGCTGTGTACTTTTCCCCATAAAGTCTTACACTTA